GCCTTGCTATTATATCAGCATGGGCTCGGAACCTATTCCCGGTGAGTACTCTTCTATAGCAGTGTCTTCATGGCAGTCTGACACCTCAATCACAGACTCACTTCCTCGATTGGCCCCTCCCTACGGTAGAGAATGCTCATATTAGTGTGTAGTCACCTGTAGGCCCATAGAAGTACTATCATGACATCTAGCTTGTATTGTGAGCCCAATGAAGCGTCCATATGAACCTCTGTGTGATTCTATGGCTCTTACCCTTGTAAATGGAGGGTTACCCACCCGTGGAATGGATACCCATGGGTAGCGGTACCTGTGCACGGGGTAACCCTAACCCTAAAAACCCCCGGGTACACGGGTAGGGGTTTTTGCAGGTAAGGGTACGGGTGGCTTTGGAGGTATCCCGGGGTATACCCCTGCCACTGCCTAGACGCTAGCGTTCGCACCTGCGAACCCCACCACTCCGCAAAACCCCGCGCCCGTCCCCGCCGCCGCGCCTACTACACCACACGTCCAGATGGACGTGGACACCTTACCACCGCCAGATCAGGCATCACCGCCTCCTGCTTCCACCGACAACGTCGACGGCACGGAGGCGCGACAAGAAGGAGGTGAAGCGCGGGGAGCTCCGAACGCGGAGGAGGCGGAGAAGTCGGCCGAGGAGGAGCAGTGAATGGACCCTCGTGGTCCCCTCTCCGTACCTCTAGGTACTTAAACCCACCCAGACGTCGCACCACCGTCATGGTGTATATACTGGTGCTGGACGCTACCGCGTCCACCTACCCGCCGCAGAAATGCGAGCACTTCACCATTCGGACGGATCACCCCCGTTGCGAACGAGCATTCTGGGTGAATGGACGCAGACGCGTCCTCGTAGCGCGTCGAAACCGACGGGGCTATGATGTATCATAGCGGCTTCAACACCGCACCCTTGTACTATAGGGCCCATGTGTGTGCAGCACATGGAACCCATGTAAATACTGTGCAACCATCACTCAAAGTTGTGACCCTTACTCCATTGTATTATTATTTGGAGACCCGGCACGGGTCTAGGGAGGGAGAGTGTAAGAACCCGACGGTTCGTACTTACTGCCGGCACTCCCTAGTGCCTGGACGGGAACGTCCACTTCAGTAGGAGAAGGTGTTCTCCGGGAATCACGGAGAACTAGCGCATCTAGGCGCCCGTAGATTAGATACCACAAGTCCTGTATCGTACGTAAGCGTACGGCGCCCGAAGGTTCGGGCCTCGGGCGCCTGGTGGGGGCAGAGTTCTACCACCCCCCACCATCCAGCGAGTACGCCGAGCAATCAAGCCCGGTCCAGAGTACTTGCGGGATTCGGGGAGTCGTGGGACTCGCGTACACTTACACCAGCGCTTACTGCGCTGGGCTTGTGGATGTACGATGCCCGTAACGACCTCGTTCGGGGTCGTTACACTCTCCCCCTCTAGACACGACATACGGGTCGTGTTGTATAGTACAATGTGATGATGAATGCCTGCAACTTGTAGCAGTGCTAGCACCGAAATATACAAGGTCGCGCGCGGTGCGTACACGACCCTTTTGTTATATACAAGGGTGATGGAGGAGCCAATTGGGGCTCCTTGACAATACCGAACCACAAAACATTTCATATACAATGTTTGGCTGCAAATTGGAGCAGCACTACCATCTGAATGTATTTGTGCGAGATGGTTGCACGTGTGGTGGTGGTGAGGTATACACAACGCCATGTGGACATTGTGAGAAGGCGAGAATGACTGCAACGTGAAGCAGTACTACCGTATTGTAACACGATACGGTCGCGGAAGGTGGGTTTATTCGTTTTTAAGACTGCCAAGCGAGGCAGTTATACCGTATGTTCGAGCGCGATACGGTCACGCTAGAAAGGCGAGCTGAAACAGACTGCAAATGGGAGCAGTCCTACCGTCATATGGTAGTAGATGTGCGCATGACAGATGCGCGTGCGGACTCTTGATGCGAACGAACCTCAGCTGAGGGTTCGTTTATGCGGATGCGGGAGAGAGGACGTGGGTGGGGGAGCTGGCGTGACTGGACCCCGACCCCGCCGATGATCGAGGCGCCGGGGATGGCACCCGGGACCCGACAGACGCAGCGTCCGCCGTGCCCTGGACGTCCTCCATAGGCCTGGTGGGGCTGTATGGGGGAGGAGCAACCTCCTCGGCAATTGGAGCCGCCGAGGTAGCCGACACGGGCGGAGCATCCGTGGTGGTAGGCGCGACGGTGGGCGCAGGAACATTGTCGGGCTCGACCTGCATGGGATGGTCAGCGACGATTGTGCCGGGCATCACCATGAGCGACGTGTCACTCTCGTCGATAGGCCCCAACACCATGTTGTTGGGTACATACCCAACATCAGTGATGCTGTTGGGTCCACCATCCGTGAAGGGCGAGTTGTCGGTTACCTCGCGGCCTCCACGCTCGTTGCAGTTGCGCCGCGCGAGCAGCATGTACCGGTCCGCCATCAGCACGGTGACGCCGCGCAAAGCGTACCAGCGCGCCATCTGGAAGAGCGTCGCAAAGCCGACGTTGTTGGGGTACGGCGCCGGGCGGAACTGACTAGCCACCGGGTATTGGCCAGTGGTGATCAGGTGCTGGTAAAGCCCAGGCACCGAGAACAACCAGCTGGTCATGCTGATCCAACGACCGCGTTCGGCGGTCGGAGTGTCTCACGGAATGAGCTGCCGTGAGAGCAGATGGAATGCCACGCTGAATTCGGTCGGCCTCCTGCTGCTGAACTCACATTCCATCTACACAGGAATGCGGCCCCTGCCCACAGACATCCAATTCTGCCAGTCGCTGACACTGTCGTCGAGCGTCGGTTGGTTGTATATGGGCTCGGTGCGCGCAGCTCCTTTCTGCCGCTTGATCTCCTTCCAGTCCGGTCCCGCGCGTGTGGGCCAGGGAAGGTGCGACGTCAACATGTGCTCGTAGCCCGGGGGTGTGTCTCCCCAAGGCGAAGCTCCACGCGGCCCTTCTGGGCGGCGCCACTGCGACTGCAGCACTTGCAGGCTGCGCACTCCCGTTAGCTCAGGCCTTCAATTGACCTGGCCTATGAGGTCGTGGACGCGGTGCGCGATCTCGCCCGTGTCGGTCTGCGCGTCGTTGATGAGGCGACTTGCGTCGTTGCCACTCAACAGCACGTAGTTGTAGTAGTGCCCCGTCAGCCGTGGGTCACTGTCCGTGGGGGGGGGCCATGAGGTGGTGGGGCCATCCTGGCACCACGCAGGTTGACTGAGCCGTGAAGGAGCTCATCGAGAATGGCGCGCCTTGTCCGGGCGCAGCCTGTGCGCTGGGGTTGCAACGCGCTTTGCGGTACCGCCGACGCTCCGCCAGCCGCCGTATCCGGTGCTCATCGACCTCGTCGTCACTCGAGGCGTTCTCAAAGTCGACTATGGGGTGCTCAGCAGGTGACCTGGACACCATGGCCTGGTATGACCCAGAGGGCCCAGCCATGTTTTGAGCGGAGTAGGGTGTCGCAAACAACATGGAGGGCCCAGCCATGCTTGGCTGAGCGGTGTACGGTGCCGTGAACGAAGTTGAGGGCCCCGCCATGCTCGGCTGCACAGAGTACGACATCAAGAATGACGCCGAGCTCATCGTGCCCGCGCTGCTCGAGCCAGCGATGGGAAGCGGGTCCATGTTACACCTCCGAGGGCTTTCCTCCCTCGGATCCCGGCGACAGTGCAACGTGCTCTGGTTGGGAGGCATGGTGAGCCTTGTCGACAATGTTGCTGTCGTCAACTGGGCCTGTCTTCGCCGCTGCTCCTCCTTGAGCTGTCAGCGAGCCTTGTTGCGCTCCTGCTCCAGCCTGTCTCGGATGATGCGGACCTCGTTGCGCTCCTCTCGGTAGCGATGCAAGCGCTCCTGCTCTGAGTCGTACTCCGCTTGCAGCGTCTGCAGACGGGTTTTGAGTTCCGCAATGTGTTCGCGGTCCCTTCCCCCCTCCGAGCGAGTGTGTCGCTCGAAGTGCGCCCAGAACCGGCCTTGTAGCTTGGTCTGGATGCGTGTCTGCACGTCCCGGAATGACTGCTTGGAAGCCCCTGCTGCGTAGTGGCGGAGGAACTCCGTGCACAACGGGCAGTTGCTCTCATGCGCGACCAGTGTCTGCTGGTCGGCCACGGGGGCCCATGTCATTGTTGAGAATGACATGAGGGGGATCCCCGCCGGAGGTCCATACTGCATGCCTATGTGTGGCATGCCCAGCATCTGCGGCGCCATCTGCTGTTGCTGCTGCTGCTGGGGCAGCCCGAAAGCGTACCCTGTTGAGGGCAACACCTGCGGGTACACCACCAGGTACTGTTGTTGGGCTACGCCGGGCGGGGCGTAGCTGGTCGACGCTTGTGGGGGTGCGACCATCGGGAATTGAGATCCTGACGCCACAGGAGCCGCTTGCTGCGACCCCTGCGCGTCCATGTCCATGGGCGTGTTGGTGCTGTTGCTGTTGCTGCCACCATTCATGCTTGAGGTTGCAAGTGTTGGTGGTGGTGTTTGGTGACTTGGCAGAGTTGGTTATGACCCTGCGAGGTCTCCGTTTATTTAAGCGCCAGCGGAGTTTCAATCACGTCGGTGGCTGAAATCTCGCGCGACGCGTCTCGGCGCTTGACTTCTTTGCGGTCACGCGCACGCTTTCGCCAGAGCTATGCTGAGCTCTGGTGCTTAGGCACACTTCTGCCTAAGTCTTTTGTGGCAACGCGCGCCACGACGATACTCCCATTAGACGACAGTACTCGGCTAATGCTACAAACTCCTTACAGTGCTCATACGGTTCCCAGGTGTGATCTCCTAGTGTCCACCTTACGTGGAATTGACACTTATTTCCCTTCCACTCGTGGCCCACTATTTCATCTACCAGCCACTCGGTAGATTCCTTGTTGCCGAAGTTGTAATATGACTTGGCTTCGCGATGCGGAAATATCGCATTGTTGTTGGGTTCGTAATGTCTCAACAATGAGATGTGGAATTGAGGATGGATCCTGTGGTTCTTCAGTTCCGCAGGCAGATCCAGGACGTAGTTGGACGTCTCTGGTATGCTCTCTACAATGGCATACCGGGCAACGTACTTGGGAACGAGCTTTCGTGCTCGTCCTTTCGGAGTCGACAAATTCTTAGTCGACAAATATACTTTGTCCCCGACCTCAAATTCGGGTTCTACCTGCCTGTGCTTATTGGCATGGCACGTTTGCCGAACCCTTGCCTCTATGATGGCGTCATGAGCCATTTCAAGGTAAGCCTTGGCTCGGAGTGCAAATTCTTGCACTCCCTTGAAAGGTGAATGAGTGATTATGCCACTCATCGACCGCGGAATGTATCCGTAGTTGAGTTCGAACGGTGCAAAGCCCATAGTCGAACTCACTGCTGAGTTTATAGCAAACTCAGTGATTGGTAGCTTCTCGTACCAATCTAGTTGGTCGGGCGAAACGTTCGCTCGAAGTATTTGAGTCACTGAGCGGATGCTTCGCTCACTGAGTCCATCCGTTTGTGGGTGGAATGATGTGGACATGAGTAGCTTTGCCCCCATAAGGCGATGCAATTCCTTCCAGAATTTGGAAGTGAACTTCGAATCCCTGTCCAACACTATGGACTCGGGTAGTCCATGAAGATGGACTATTTCTCTGAAGTATATCAGTGCCAAATCTGTGGCACTGTCTGTAGTACGAATAGGTATCAGATGTACCATAGACGTCAGTCTACATACAACTACCCATATGTAGTCATACCCGTTCGACGCTGGAAATGGTCCGAAGAAATCCATGGCCAATGAGGACCATGGAGCCGATGGAATCGGCATGCTATGCAGAAATCCATACGGCATCTGCGTACTAATCTTGGTCATATTACATACACCACAAGTCGTACAAAACTTGTCAATGTCCTTGCGCAGCGCAGGCCACCAAAACCATCTCCGTACGTATTCCGACGTGCGCTGAGGTCCCAAGTGACCAAGCGCGGTATGCGCTCGGTATATTACGAGCTCAGTGATGGCTTGTCGTTAGTGTAATGCGCGAGGTATGCACAATACTTCCTCGTCTAATCTGTTCTTGCTGTAGATCAGACCATCGCGCATGGTAAATGCGCGATGTTGAGTCGGTTGTTCCAAGATCTTACGGAACATCGGGTCTTCTTTATAGCCCGACTGAATGGCTTTAATGAAGCCATCATCAGCCTCCGCCCAGGACCGCAATGACGGTCCTGTTGACAGTGATTCTCCGAGGGACGGATTGTCCTCGGTATCAATACGGGTATTCGTATTGACTGTTGGTCTATGCGCGGCATACTGCACGGACAATATGTCGCGCTCTTCCACGGGTTCCCGCAATACCGTGGGGGGTTTCTCCACGGTTACTTGCTTGTTTGCAAGTCGCGACGATCTGCGAAGTACGCGGGCTGCTCGTAGTTCTATCAACCTGGAGAAGGGGAGGTCTTCTCCTTGCGGATCTAATCGGAGGTCCGCATTCACATAATCGAATTCTTCGGTTATGTTGTCCAATGTGTCGTTCTCGTGGTAGCGGGATAAACAATCCGCTACCTTGTTCAACTTACCTGGAATGTAGGTAATCGTCTTGTCAAAGCGGGACAAGAATTCATACCACCGTATCTGTCGGGGGTTCGGTCTATCGAGTCCTTCAAGGAACTTGAGTGCCTTGTGGTCGGTAACTATGCGTAGTTTCCGACCAATAAGCTTGTCCTCCCATTTGAACAAGCCTTCCATTATAGCTAGAGCTTCCTGCTCATAGGTGCGATACACCCATTGCGCAGACGTAAATTTCTTGGATAGGAAACCGGCAGGTCTACACGTCTGCCAGTCAGGACCTTGTCCGTACAACGCGCCAAGACCATATGTTGACGCGTCGCAGATGAGCCAAATAGGCTCATCTAAAGCCGGGTCTATCGGCTTTAGTATTGGCACTTTACACGCAAGTGCCTTTATCGATTCGAAGCACTTGTCGTGAAGTGATCACCACACAAATGGGCGATCATTGTGTACCATGTCCGATAACGGCGACGTATACGCCGTTACATCTGGCATGAAATGCGCCAGATAATTCACAAGTCCGAGGAAACGCTGCACCTCGTTGTACGAGCGAGGTGCTCTCCAACTACGGATACGGCTCATCTTGTCCGTATCCGCGTGGAGTCCCTTGTCGTCTATGTGGTGTCCAAGGCAATCCATGTCCTTGGAATATAAGTCGCACTTACTACGACTTAAGAAAAGTTGCGCTTCCCGCAGCTTTTGGAACACTATTCTTAAGTGTTCCTCATGCTCCTCCTTTGTGTTGGAGTACACGAATATATCGTCCAAGTAGACATGAACGAATCGGCTTATACAGTCACAAAATATGGCTGTCATCAACCGTTGGAAGGTGGACGGGGTGTTGGTGTCGCCCTGTTGCATAACCTCGCTCACGAACGTCCCGTAAGGCATCGCGAACGCGGTCTTCCACATGTCCTCAGCTACGATACGAATTTGCTCGTATGCGTCGGACAAATCAATCTTCGAGCGGTACTTCACTCGGGCGACGTCCATCCAGATCTGATCTTGATCCGGAAACGGTGTCAAATCGTGCACTGTATTCAGGTTGCGCTGTCGCGCATCAAGCACCGTTCGTAGCTTGCCATTCTTCTTGGCTACGCACAGGAGTGGCGCAGCTTGAGTGACTGTAATGGGTCTCCACCAACCCGCATTAACATAGCGATTGATTTTCGCTATGAGTTCCGGCTTGACTACATCTGCGCATCGTGGCAGATGATAGCGGTATTTCTTCGCTTTGTCAATGAGTGGAATGTGGTGGTTGATTTCCCGGAATGGAGGCAGCGTGTCCGGTGCTGGCCTCATGATATCCTCGGTGGCTGCATACCACCGTTCGCGGAGGACTTTCAGTTCCTCCTCTTCCTCGTCAATGACGAACCCAACATGGGTTCGTCTGATCTGCTCCTCTTCCCATTGTTCCTTGGCAATCTTATCAAGGAGTTCGTTGATGCCATATGGGTCTTCATTCCCATATCTATCTCATCGAGGGCCTTTCGACGAGTGCAACATCGGAATATAATGTTCGCTAATGTTTGGCGGCGAGCTGTTCTTAGCTCGCCCTTGATGTCGTTCAGGAATCGAAACGGCCTCTGTGCCATTCCCTCCCCTTCCTGACGACCTCTCGGTCTTCTCATAGCGCGAGTGGGGAGGTTCCACTTGCGTGGACTCCGCTATGCCCCGCTACTTCTGCTGGGATGCGATTCCTTCAAATTGGAATCGCGGCACCTTATTCTTAGGTACCGGTTTCAGTGTAGTTGAAACCTCGGTGTCGAATAATGGCAGCGTTTTGCCATTAATCTTAACTGTATTGGAGCCGAAATCCAATACCACACCATGTTTCCTGCAGAACGTGGTTCCGAGAATGATATCGTATTTGTCAATATCTACAACGTCAAAGTATTACGTTATTTTAACGGAGCCTACTCTGAGCTCCGCCTGCGCGCCATAGTTGATGCGCGTCTTACTGCCCTTGGTGCCCAGCTGTAGACCAACTGGCTCCGCCAAATCTATCCTATCCGCACGGCTGAGATAGGCTAACTCCGGCGTAATGGAGTCCGTCGTGCATCCCGAATCGAACAATGCCAGTGCAACGACATTGTTTACGGATATCTCAGCGCAAAGTGTGCGCTGAGACTGGATAGTTCTTGCGGGTTGCGCTGCAGGATCCTCTATACGGCGTACTTTATTGTCGTACAGCCATGCTTGCTTGTAGCCCTTCGTCAGGGCTACTGCCATTGTATGGAACTGGAAGGTTCGCTTTCCTCTCCTATTGGTGCAATACGCATAGCACCAAAGTAGTCCCCATCGTCGTCCCCTGACAACTGGTACAATTCGCCTTCAGGATCGTATTGAGATCCCTCCAGGTTATTGTCCGATGACGGATATATCCCGTCATCCTTCTTGTCCACTCCTTCAATAGCGTCTTCTTGCGCTTCTACCATGTCCCCAGCTCCGTCAGTAGCTGGGTCATTCTCAGGTACACCAGGATTGTCTTCCTGGTCCGAGTTATCGTTAATAACTCGTTGCGCGAACAAGCGTTGTCCTGACGCGGGTTTCTTTCCGAAGTTGGGGCACTTCGGGTCGCTCGCAAAGTGGCCTATCTGACCGCAGTTGTAGCACTTCAAAGGAGCCTTCTGTGATTGGTCGACCCTGACCACAGAAGCAGACTGCGGTCCCGAATGTGCCTGGTTTGGCACATTCGCACTTTGATTTCCACTCGAAGGCTTCTTAAAGCTTGACGTAGCTTTATAGTTTGGGTTACGCTGTGGTGGAGCGGAACTGGATGACTTCTTCATGGTTGTCCGCACGCCTGGGTTTGGGCGTGCTTCCCCCGATGTTTTTGGGGTGGTACTCGAGGAATTGCCAGTACGGGTAAGCTCCCGTGCCTGTTTCCTCGCAGTCATAGCTTGAGAACTCTGTTCAATTGTGTACGCAGCTTGGTATAGCTGCGTGATGTCGGTCTCGTACGGCGATAGACCATTTAATACGGTCATGACCTGCACAATGTCATCGGGCAGCGCGCTGATGAATTTACTATGCAGCTGGTATGGCGTAGGTCGTTCCCAGAGTCGGACCGACGTGTAGAGTAGCCGTTCATACAAGGCGGCTACTCCGCCTTCACTGGCTTTGTACTTCAGCAAAGCATATTGTTGCTCCGCCCTCAGGTTCAGGTCCTTGTGGATGAACCTGCAATACATGGCTATTACGACTTCTTCGAATAGCCAGTCCTTCTTTTCTCTAGAAGGAGACTGTACCGTGTTGTACAGCCAGTTAGTGGCTTCTCCGCTAACAGCTTGCCCAAGAATGCGGACACGCTCTCGATCTAGCTCAGGACCCATAATCCTGAGCGTATTGAAATACTCGAGAAGGCCTCGTAGCCATACTTCGAGTGCGTCGAGGTCATCCTTCCCGTCGTACGTCTTGGGTGGCAGTAGCTTCACCACCTTGAGGTACGCAGGGGGATCCCCGATGGGCGCAGGGCCCACCATTTTGTCTATCATCTGCAGTAAACGATTGATAGTTATACTATCACGAGGTCCATATGTGGGCCCCGTGTAGACCATATCATTATTCTGACCCGCGGGTGCGGTCAGAGGCTCCCATCCAACACGGGTGGACAGTCCCATAGATCGGCGTGGATTACGCCAATCCTGCGTGTGATCCACGCGGCCTGTTCGATACGCAGGTCCTTGCGATGCGGACATCTGCGCAGTATAAGGCTCCTGCGTGCCCATGTGCGCACCCGAATCCAGTGGGTGCGTAGTAGCCCTCGATCCGTATTGAGGATCAAAAGCTACGTTCTGCGGTGCTTGCGGAACGTCCTCTGGAGGTAGAAGCCCCGCATTGTGAAGCTGCTGTTCACGACCCGCATCAATCTGGTCTTGTGGACTGACTAGCGCAGCTTCTACTTGCTGTGCTTCTGCTGACTGGTCGGAATGCCAGTCACTGAGGTGCGTGTCGATGGTAGTTTGTTCCATCGGCGGTTCTTCGCTGTCGTCGTCACCAGCCACCATTTGGGCTGGTCCTGTTATTGCAGCAGCCGGAGTATTCGGCTGCAGAGTGTGCTGGTCCTCGTAGTCTTCGTCATCCTCAAAGATATCGTTGAGGCCCAGTGCCACCAATGCATTGTTGATGTTGCGGTTGGACTCTTCTTCAGCTTCGCGAACCTGTTGCTGAAGTTCCTTGTACCTGCGCCGAGAATTGCGCATGGCGTCACGTAGCCGCTGCATGTCCTCAGGTCTGAAAGACGTGCCCGTTGCTGCTTGCGCGGTGCGACTGGGAGACCTCGATAGTCGGCCTTCCTGCGATGGCCCCGCCTGAGCCACGCGACTGTGTGGTCGTGACCTCGGGCCAGTCGAACCCGGTCGTTCATGTGTAGGAGACCGGGGTGCATTAGTCCCCGGTTGTTGAGTTTGCGCGAACGAGTGTCGCGAATTTGCTGCTAGTCGTTGCCTACAGCCCCAAGAGTGGGACTGTTTATCGAAAACGGCGACTGCCAGCTGCCAGGACGTGCACCAGGCGGATTGCTAGCGCCTGGTTCGGCGGTAGGAGAGTGTCCTTGACAACCACTGGTGGTGGTCGTCCTGCCTCGCGATGTGTCGCGAGGAGGCACCGTCGAGGTTGACGGGCCAGCCGCGGTGGCACGTACTCTCGATGTTTGTCGAGAGTGTACCGCGCCTGACATGGCACATTCTAGGGGGTTGTGATGAGGGGAAGAAGGGTGCGTCTGACGCCCCTCGGTGTTGGGGTTCTGTGACTGGTCCATGGTTGCTTTATTGGGCGATATCGGGTGGTTTAAGGTTAGAGTTCAGTAGTGACGTGGACCACATCGAGCCCCAAATCAGGCGAATATCACGGTGAGAGTAAAAAAGTGTAAAACTCACGTATGGGGGGCGCAATCTGTTGCCCCTTTCCCGCAAGTACTCTGGTCCGGGCTCTATTGAGGCTCGGCGTACTCGTAGGATAGTGGGGCAGGTAGAAAGGCTGCCCGCACTAGGCGCGCGGGTTCCGAATACCCGCACGCCGCACGCGTCTATTTAATACATCATTATCTTATCTCTGCCCAGCACGTATGGCGCTGGGCTCGTGGATGTACGATGCCCGTAACGACCCGATCCTGGGTCGTTACACAAGCAGAGAGCGGTATTAGAAGGTGCGCGAGCTTGCACGGGGTTTTTACAAGCTGCAGGAGGTAGTACAAGGCCGGGAACGCCGAGACGCGCCCTGAGCGCCGTATTACAAGCAGGTGCAGATTATACAAGCTGCGTGTTCGCTCATGCGCGTTTTACAAGCTGCGGGAGGTTAGTACAACCCGGAGAGAGCCGAGACGCACCCGGGAGGGAGTATTACAAGCAGCTAGACGATGTACAAGCACTGGAGCAATATTACAAGCTATTAACAAGCCATGGGCCTTCAGTAGAGTATTACAAGTAGTGGCAGATTGTAAATAAGGGCCTAGGGAGGTTCTACAAGGGTTGTTAAAAGGATTGTTAATATGTGGGCCAGCTTGTAATTGTACAACCTGTGTTCACTAAATACACAACCATTTTACCACACTAATGGCTAGTTGTAAAACAACATTGGCGACTACAGGTGGGTATTCGACTCGTATAAACAACCTTTAAACCCGATATAAGCAGCGGCAGAAGGCCTGGGAGCCAGGCTCGAGATCTGAGTGAAAGTCAGCGAGAGTCAGAGCGAGCGAGCAACGCCAGCATCGACGTCGTTTCTACAGCCCACGCGCAGAAGAGAAAAAAACATAGTCCTGAGCTTGGGCCAGTTAAGCGCAGGCGAGGTGAAGCAAGGTCAAGTCAGAGTCCAGAGCAGCGACTACGACTCTGTGATGACGTCACGCGCCGGTCGATTCTTCTGATTGGTCAATGACTTCTCCAAGGCGCCCGCCGCTCTGCTCGTTGAACGCAGGCGTCTCCTCTCGCTCTTTCTCTCTTTCTGCGCCGACGCCGTCTGGCCATCCAGAACTTCGCTCTGTCTCTCTACCTTTTGAATGACTAGGAATCCGACCTTGGCTCTTTCTCTGCTATCTATCACTGGCCCCGCCTGCGTTGCCAGTTGCTGAGCCCTCCCGTACGTGCCACGTGCGACTCACCCGATCTCCGGGGTGAGCCCTCTCTCCTTCGTGCGTTATACCCTTTCCTCGTCAAGACTATGCTTGTAGTGTACTACATGCGCAAGACCTCTGATCCTATGGGCGAGGACCTACCGAGCCATTACATGCTCTTTTCGCACGAGCGACCCGTTGCCATGTACGTTGTCAATTTCTGCAGCCTCGTCGCACACTCACCACTGGAGGCTCTACCTCTACATCAACAGTAAAATATGGTGCTGGTATGGGTGAGGCATCCAAGGCACATCGTAGTACACTCAAGGTGAGCGAAGAAGCCATGGAATGGTACATGATAATCGCTGACGCTCCATGTCTATATCCTCTCTGCTGGCCCAAAGTTGCGCGCGGGACGCCGTCGCAGCCCCTATTCGTACTCCATAGGAGCGGAAGTATCTACGGTACGCATGCTCGCGCTTTCAAACGCCTCTGACTGCGCCGTCTTCGCTTCCCACAAACATCGGGACATCTGCATTATGGATCCAGCCCAGCAATCTGCCCGCCGCCGCTCTTCTTGTAACGTGCCTTTATTTCTCGGCTGCCGGTCACTGGACGCTCGCGCGCACTACAGCCACCTATCTGCTGCAACGCAGATGAATGAATATACTACGCCAGGGGAGACACAAACCTCGCCGATCCAAGGTGCGTGCTTGAGCGATGAAGAGAGCTAAATTAACTCAGATAGCGACACGGACGGCGCGAGGAACGGGCTCTGAGCATGTCGCGTCCGTTGGATACAGAAACACACGGGTGCGAGACCGCTCCCCGGCGCGGCGGTCCTGGAGCGCGCTCGACGCGTAGGGTGCCTAGCCACGCGCGTCCTTGGAGACCACCGTGGGTTCATACGTGCGTCGTGTCGTTTCTGAAGGACTCCGCAGAATCGTTCGTCGTCATCCGACGCAGAGACAGCACGAGCAGACGGTGTTCCGTCCAGTGGGGAGAGTGTCCGGGATCCCGCTGGACTTCTTTCGATCGGTGGCCCGTGTTGCGCGGGTAGACTGCGCCCGCACCAATTCCGTCGATATGCGGGTGCTAGGAGCCCGTCAGTGTGCGGGTTCCTACGACCGGGAGCAAGGCTGCGAGTGCAGCCGGCGGTTTGGGGGCGAAGCCAAGCAACCTCGGTCACTACCTATCGAGTGACCAAGCCTTCGGCGCGCTGACGATGCTGATCAGTGTGTATGATACAGTGCCCTTGAACAGTCTGTGTATGGCAGAATCTCTCACGCTACCACCTCGCGTGGAAGCAAGCCCGTCGCCCCCTCACACACGAGTCATTTTGCCGCATCGCCCATCAGGCGTGAACGGTGGCCCAGTACGTACCAGGTCCGTGCTCCCCGTGCCGGCCCCGTGCGCGTCGGCGCTCAGCATGGGTATTCTCGCCGACATGAGGGCGGCGGCGGCGTCATCGAGCAGCCACGTTCACGGACACGCACCTGCCGTCGCTGTCCCAGACAGCTCCGATGGGGCATGCAAGGTCTGCGACGAGGAGGGCAGCCTCGCGATATGGAGAATATGCACATGCAACAGCAAATATGTGCGTGCCTATGGGCACTGAAGCTAACGCGCACTCGTCCCGATGCAGCTTCGTAGCAGCGAACGCCTGCCCGTCCTATCGGTGCTAATTGTCACGAACGCTATGTAATCCGTCTGTTCGCATACGCCGCTGGGCGGAGAGCTAAAACTAAAACATTCCCCATATCCTAGGCGTACTTCCGGGAGACCTGGGGCCACACATTGCGCTCTTTGCGCTCCTTATCTGCCCTCAGGCCGGGATCAGCACGACCACGCCAGCCCTTCTGGGACTTTGCGAGAATCGCATGCTCGATATCAGGAAGACCGCCTATGGACTCTCTCGTGCTCGCTGCCAGGGATGTGCACCTCCCTCGTATCATCCATTAAGGTGTCTTGCGATGCGCTGTCGACCTGCGGATATGTGTGGAGTTGAGCCGAGTTTTCCGAATTTGTCTGTGCAGGCGTGTCTCATGTGGGAGCCTAGAGCTCACGAGACCTCTTCCCGTTCAGGAGCGTAGAAATACGAATGTGAGTGACAGATATCGATTCACGTATAAAGGGCGGTTTGCTTCGGCCGTGTATGTATATTTTCCCATCGCTAGATAGTTTATAAAAACCTTCGCATTGCCAAATGTCAGTGCGCTCGTCCTCGGCGACGTCGCCGCTCGCACCATCGGACCTCATCTGCCATTCAAGCGGCGGCTCGTCGCTTCGCAGCGTCGGAGGCTGTAGAATATGTGTCTGTGTTCCGCTCTCTACCTCCGCTCTCTACCCGTGTCTCGTAGCGTTTATGCAAGTCTACAACCATTCTTGGTATTCCTCCCTTCGCACGGCCGTGTATCCGTCCCGTCCATACATACGACAGAAAACGCCATCATCCACCTCCCCGCCGCTTCTTCTGCAAAGGAACTCGGACCGATTCCAGTGCTGTCCCTGAAATCAACACCTTCAGCATCGCTATACGGCTGAAGCTCGGGCCTATATGAGTGCTCACACTTAAATCAAGGAGTTCAGCATCGCTATACGGCTGTGCTAGGATAGAGCACTCGCCGCAAAGACGGACGTACGAAAGCGAGGCGATTCCCGCGATCGCGGCCGTTGAAGAGAAGTCCAGCGCTCCTTCAGCTGGGACAGGCCCGGTCTGCACCCGCCGCGAGACGCCGCACCCTTCTTTGCCGGGGCGTGCCCCCGCATTCCACCCCGCCTCGACGCTTCTACGCTGGTATTCTGGGCGAGGACTGTGCGTGGCATGCCTTCGCAAGCCTTCCCTGCATAGCATACCTCGTGGCGACGGCCCGAGGCCACCCGGGGCCGCAGGGGGCTTCCCGTCGCTATCGATGGTGTCGGTCATGTCGACGGCAAACGAGCACACTGCCAGAAACAACGCCGGGTGAGCAATATGCTGTTAATCCAAAACCGCGTACATGCCTTGATAGACACGGCGATGTCCAGATGCACGAACCGAATCGCTGGTTCTTCGCCATCCACAGGCTCGACGCCCTCGACAAACGACCTAAAGAACATTTCGGAAGCACAGGACCGTGCTCGGGAGCTGTGGCTCTGCATATCTGACGCATCGGGATGCGGATCGGGGAAAGAGAAGGTGGCCAGACAGACCAAATACGCGCTGTGCCCGTAGATCTGTCCGCCGCCTTCTTCGTTCGAGTCGAATGGCGTCTGCGAGAAACAGCCGTGCTTGTCTGTGTGCAGCTCGACCCGGAACGAGTCTGAGGTCTGCTAGACGTGGAGATCAGGGCAACAATTCGTCCAGTAAACAGCAGATGAACGAACAATCCCGAATGGAGCTACGTACGCGATTCAGCGAATATAGTATCGACGCATGACGCGTAACTCACCGTGTGGGCGTGGTGACGTCAATAGTTGTCTTCGGCTTGAACGTAGTCTTGCTGTAGTAAATTGTATCTGTACGTCGATAGTGAGGACATATGTACCATTGACGGGAGCGACGGACGAGATGATCTTACCATACAGAACACTCCGACTCAGCGTCGATATTGGCGATCTCGACGTCCGATTTCCGTCCTAGTCTGTCCGTAGACGCCGAATGCCGGTGCGTACCACACGATCTGCTACCTCTGGGCCCGTTTGTAGAAGCACCTGGCATGTTCTTCGTGAGCAAGGTAATCACGGCCGAGTTGAGGCTGATATGATGGGCATGAGCGGGTAAACAGACTGACAAAACGAGTGCATGCGTACGGGATTCGGATTTGCGTAATTGCGAGCGCGAACGCACATATATGCCGTGGCAGAATTGGCAATATGTACAGGGATATGGGGCATGGCCTATCTCAAGTTGAACTCAGTGGAAGGCAGAGGTGGAGGAAACGCAAGAAACCTTACGATGATTTGATAGAGGTACTTCTTCAGTTCCGAACGATACCTGCGCCGACGAACGAGTGGTGTGATATCCAAAGCGGTGGTACCCTTGTAGGGTTAGAAGGAGGAGGATAAGAGACACGAGGTGGGGAGAGATGCCGATGATCGCTCGCATCTCGAGGAAGGCTTCCTCGAGCGGTGCGAGGGGCGAAAAGAGACATACTAGAAACGCGGTCTCAGATGCGTAGATCTATCAATACGTCCCTACTCAACTACACGCCCTCTTCAAGACCGTAGATGTTTATTCTGCGTGATTTTGGCGCCTAGAGACGTGAGCGTCTTGGCCGTCTCCTCCTTCGGAGCGTCACTAAACAGATGATTTGTGCTGAGGCTAGCACGCTTGAACCGGCGAGCAGAGGAGTGAGAATCCTCGGGATTCGTGGCGTCTACTCCGGTGTCAGCGATGGAAGATGGCGCGCTGGGGTCTACGAGATGTAGAATGACGACGTTTGGAAGAGACGAGGGACGACTGAGCAGGCAAAAGCCAGAGCCGCGCAGAAAAGCCGCCACGAGGCAATGACATCACGCGTCATTCCGATTCCACAAAGAATCGGTCTTGCCTATGAGAAATGGATCGGTCACGTGAATCCAGGTGAACCCGGCTTCGTCCGTGGGTTTCCGTAAATTTCCTTCATTCCAGGGCGCTTGAATCAGCTTGCCTTTGTTTGTCCTTTGTGGCGTCTGCACCTCGCAACACGGACGCGACTCGCTCACTTTGCGTCCTATCCGCCTCGTCGACTTTTCACTATCGTCCCCCCTGTTCAGGGATTCCCCTGGATGCCTCCACAAAGCCTTTCTTGCGCTTTTATATCACTATATGCACCCATACCGATGGCTTACAGAGCACGCTGCGAGAGCTGATAAGTTGTAAGTGCCTTACTAGCGTTAGTATCCCCTCATATCGAGCAGTAGTGTCTAATTCGGTCCGCTTCCCCGCAGGTATCCAACGCGTCGAGAATATGTATTCAGATCGATACGTGGCCGCGGACATCATTCCGCCGTGCGACCCATTCGCTCGTTGTGTGAGCTGACTGCAGCTGCATGTTGTGTGGTAGTGGTCGACTAGACTGCCCAGCGCCCGCGTTCGCACTCCACTGAGCTCGCGCGAGCTGGGCCTCGCTCTTCTGTCGCCGTTTCTCTGGAGCATTCCTCAGCCCGTTGAAAGCCTTGGCAAGCTCGGTGTTCTGTCTTTCCTGCCGACTGCCACAAGCAGTCTCAGTTGCACGCTCAAACCGACCACCCGTCAGCGCTCCGCATGCATTCTCCTCGTGTGTATAGGTGGTTAATCTCGGTCTCACCTATCTCAAGCAATAATATAATGACACGCGCAGTGCCCGGCTCAGCGTCTCCGACCTCCACGCGAATTTCAGCTCATGTATATCATCGCGGTCGTGAGCCTTGCTGGCTCCGCCCGCGTCCCGCTCCTCC